GCCAAAATCTGCATGGTAAGTCCTAAAAAAGATAGTTTAAACGAACGAGTACTTGAATCGAGTAACTAACATCATTGCAAAGTGCAACTTTATCTGTTAGAACTTTAACTAGTTTTACCTGAATGCCGTAAGGCTTCGCTGAAACCTTGCGAAAAGTTTCCGGTGTGCGCTACGGTACGGAAAATCAGCTTTCATGTATGTTCCGTCGTATTAATAATAATTTGGAATAAGTAAGTGTTATTTCTATAGGGCTTTAGGATTCTTTAGCAAGAGAAGGATTAATGTTTTTGGAGTTCAAGTTTTGAAATTATTGTTTTTCAGTATGGCGGCTTGTATTTAGCCTCTTTGGTAAGCTAAATAATTTATTTTCGCCACAAATAAATTGCTTCAAAAATATTTAATCGTATTTTAAGCTTTGAAAAACAGAGTAATTTCCGTTGGGTTAGATTCGACGAGATTTACGCATTTAATTTCGTTTTTACGCCGCATAATCGCTTAATTCCTTTGGGAATACAAATTTTTTTTCATAGCCCGAATAAATTCTAATCAAAATGACTTTTTTCGATTAGAAATATGAATATGAACCATGGAGGCTAGTTGTTTTCCTCACAATTTTGAGTTCTCAGTATGATCTCGTTGTCTTAAGGATTGAGCCGTGAATCTTCACTTGTCACACTCAACTTGGTGCAACTAATGGGATTTATTCTAGTAAAACGACCAAATGACAAATCGCCTATAATATGCTCAACATGCTCTATTAGCCTTGAGTTCGGGAAGTGGAACAGTTCGGTTCCTGATTTCGGAAAAAAAGTTGAAAAGTAGAATTCAGAAAGCATTCGAAATAATTTATTCTGAAAAAATTAAAACATGTTCCTTGACATAAGCTTTCCCAGAAAAACCACCAAAATTAATTTTCAACTAAAGAGTCTAGAAGGAGATATGAACAAGAATTGCTAGCCTCTTCTGATAAGCAGTTTTATTCCTATATAAACAGTTCAAGACAACCACGAACTGCACCCTGAGATGAGAAGGAAGTTGCTGATTTGTTTGCCAAACAGTTCCAGAGTAAGTTTCCAAGAGATGTAAGCCATATGACTAACTTGGATCCTGATACATTCTATACTAGTTCACTTGAAATTGTAACTTTTACACCCGAGAAATTGAAGACTGCACTCAAATCACTGAAGCCAGATTCTAGTTCAGGAAAGGATGCGATCCCTGCGATTTTCCTGAACAAGTGTGCTGCAGTTCTGTCACATCATTTCTCAGCCATGAAGAACAATATTCTTAGGCAGGGCAAACTACCAAGGGAGTGGAAGAATGCAATTGTAATGCCTATTCCCAAGAAAGTAACTGTAAATTATAGGCCCATTAGCTTAACAAGCACCCTTTGCAAATGCATGGAGAAAGTCCTGGTACCTTAGATGACTACTTGTAAATGGAATTATCCTACCTTCTCAACATCGGTTGGAAGGTCCACTTTCACAAACCTGCTTACCAAGGCTTATGACTGGACAAGGGCAGATGATTCTGGCAAGTCTGCTGATATATTTTACTTGGAATTTGGAAATACTTTTGACATGGTAGGTAGCATTTGGGCGGCTTCTTCGTAAACTCCATCACTATGGTATAAGAGAACTTCTACTCAACCTGATCCAAGATTTTCTGCAGGATTTGTGATAAGGTGCATTTTTCAGATCAGGTGGCAATAAGTTATATATTTTGGAGGCTGAGTACAGAAGAATATACCGACACTTAGTGAGTTTGAAATAAGGCGTGATTGTACAACTATTGAGTAATTGCATTGTAAAGATACTATGCGAGGTAATGTGCAAATGTTTCCTATTCTTGAATAAGAACCTAATCACTGACTTTATATACAGTGCCCGCCAAAAAGTTTGCAACAAATGGGAAAATATTTTATTATTAAGATATCAAAAAATTTTTTGCGTGGGATCGATTCAGCATACCAATCAACAAAAAAAATCACTGTGACAGATGTCATGTGACCACAGTCATGGCGTCAAATTTAAAAAGTTCGCCTTAAATATGTGATAAGTGGAGTTAGATGACCAGAAATCGAAAAATTGTAGAGAGAAAAGTGGTTCAAGATCCGATTTTACGCCCATGTGTCAATTTTTAAATACAAGGATTTTTAATAAATATCAATTTTTTAGCCTGTTTTCTGGTAATTTGAGAAATATCGAAAACATTTCGCAAAAATATTGGCTTAATTAAATTTAGAAAAGAGGTATTGAATCATTTAAAAAGATTTCATGATAGTTCTAAATGTGTTATTTCACTTTGAATTATGTAGTTTCACTTTGAATTATGTGAACCAGGCGGAAAGTTTTTGATATTTTTCAAATTACCAGAAAACAGGCCAAAAAATTGATATTTTTTAAAAATCCTTGCACCCTTTTAAAAGTTGACACATAGACGTAAAATCGAATCCTGAACCACTTTTCTCTCTACAATTTTTCGATTTCTGGTCGTCTAACCCCACTTATCGCACTTATCACATATTTAAGGCGAACTTTTTGAATTTGCCGCCATGACTGTGGTCACATGACATCTGTCACAGTGATTTTTTTTGTTGATTGGTATGCTGAATTGATCCCACGTAACATTTTTTTTTGATATCTTAATAATAAAATATTTTCCCATTTGTTGCAAACTTTTTGGCGGTCACTGTATATTTGGTTAATTTGCAGAACCTTCGCATCAATATATAGCTGCTTAGAAGAGTACATTCTAGTCTTATTTAGTATTACTTTTAGAATATATTTTAGAGTAATATCTAGTGGTAAGATAGTAGTTTTATATGATCCACCCCAAACCGTGTTACAATAAGAGATAGTCGATTCTATTAGGGAGAAGAAGACAATTTTTAGCATCTCAAAACTCATGAATTGCCTGAGCTGAACTTAAAAATAAGTTTACGTATTTTATCACAGACATACTGAATATCCTTATCCCATCTTAGATATCTATCAATCAAGACTCCAAGATATTTGATTTCATTTACTCCTTTGATTCTGATATTACACTGACAGTTTTCAAAGCTGGTGAATGATAATCTCATCTAGGTTTGTCCCATTAAATTTAGTGACTGAAAAATTTATAAAATAGGACTTGCTGCAAGCCTTAATACTCTTTAATGAACCTTCAGCATTTCATTTAACTTCAGCCCAGTCCTTACCTTTGACTACGACTGCAGTATCATTCGCAAAACACACCACGTCACCCTGTTCTGGAGGCAAAAGACTCAACAGTTCATTGACATATATAGAAAATAAGACCGGACCTAGCACCGAACCCTGTGGTACACCAAAATCCACTTTTTTGTTCAAACCAACAACATTTTTAATTTTAACACTTTGCGTTCTATCTTCCAGATATGACCGAAATAACTGAAGTACAATTCCTTTAATGCCTGCTTTTTCCAGTTTTTTTAAAAACATTCGGTGTGTCACAGTCTCAAACGCCTTTTATTCAATATAATTAGTGGACACTGCAAGTGCCAGTTATGTGAGCTCAGTGACAGCCACCATCTAAGGGTTTATATCAAGAAGCTCTGTAAAGAGAGATAGGCCAGGCCTTTGCGTAGAAAATTCTTGTCCAATCGAGTAGTTTATAATTGAAACCGACTTAGTTGGGACACTGTAATTGCATCTTCAGTCAACCTGTTTAAAAACAGACTGCTGGACAGAGAAATAGCTGAATGGACAAGATCATTCGTGCCCTATACCAATTAATAAATAGATATTTTAACAGTGGTAGGATAGTAACCGACTCAATATAATAGTCTCATCGGCTTATTTTTACCACTCACTACTCTGTACAGTCAAATCCCTCGTGCTACAAACCCGTGCGATAAATACAAGACTTTTGAATATTTTTCCAATAAGATAGGCTATGCAATTTCCAGAACAACATTGTTTACATTCTCATTCCAAGGGTAAATGGGCAAATTTGAATAAAAAAAAAGACTATACTATCCTTTGTCTTTCCCCTTCAATGTATCCCCATACCATCCGAAAATATTATGCCTGTGCATACACCGGCTTCTCCCCATATATCAAACATATTGATTCGGAAATTATATTGGATACGAGTTGTCAGGGAGCTTATCGCTATAGGGCCATACAATTGAGAGGGAACCCTTCATCGAGCTATCACCTCTGACGCGCTGGCCACGTTAACTTATTATTCCTGGATCGGACATGATCAGTAAATAATTAAAAACGTAACGTCATCAAAATGTTTGATGCATGCCACAAGCCGTGCTATCCAGGATTTAATTATTGTTTAATGGATGACTATATCCCTCATATACTTTTGACAACGATTCGCTATTAGCCATTGATTATAGCAATAAATTTATGGATATCAAGGCCAATGATTATCCAATTAACGTCTTTTGCAAGCCTAATTAAGCAGTCGACGATAGCAAGGACATTGCAAATTACGTCGCTAAAGCTTTATTTGGAATAATTAAGTTCCTTTAGTTTAGAGGAAGATTTTTTCCCGAAATTGCAAAAATTTCCTTCCCTTAAATTCGTTATCTTTTAGAAACAAACAATAAATTAACTACAATAAAGATTACTCGTTATCGTCCTTGTTGCAACCCTCCCTTTATCGACACCCTCTAATTCCCGTTGTCTCTCCCAATTATTGTCATCGAAAATCTAAAAAAAAATAAAACACAGGAAACAATCGTAATTCAAGCCGTCATTTATGTCACTCTCCCAGCATCGAACTCTGCCACAAGTAACAATAGGCCGAAAATTCATTAAATTCAACGGAACAATGAGGCTATATAGAGTGGACCCAGTGCACTTGAGGGCCCCTTTTCGCAAGACACTCTGCCCCCGTAGGGCAGGATAAAGTGCATAAAAAACCCCATTGCGGCAATTTAATAATGTTTCCGCTAGCACGCACCCTTGAGTTCTTTTTTCGGTCTCTCTCTGTTGCTGGATTTGATTTAGGAAGCGATTTTATTTTTTAACAAAATGTTTTATTCTAACTCAACCAGTACATCCCCATTCGTAACCGTATCACCAATATTAAAATTAACATACTTTATGGTTCCATTTGATTGGGCTACGATAAAATTTTGCATTTTCATCGATTCTAGAACAAAAAATATAATATATTCTAGAATTGTTGCCATGTTGGACTCACCAATAACCAGAAGCTCTTGTCCCTCTATAACTTTATCGCCCACAGAGCAGAATATCAGCTTCACCAGGCCTGCCATTGGGGCGCAAATTTTGTTTAACTTTACTTTTTTGAGTTTTTTCGGCATTAAATTCAAATAGTTCGACGCTTGTTCGGTTAGAATGTAAAATTTGTAGTTATTACCATTGAAACTGAAAAAGAAAATGTATTAATGTTGTTTTGGCGAGACTCATATTTTTTCCAGCATTTCCTTATATCTTCTGACTACTAATCAAGGTACAAAATCGTGAAAAACAAATAGGATACAAACTTTTATGCGAAAACTACATTGAAACTGATCAGTTGGATTTCAATTATTGACTCCAAACTGACCTGGAAAGATCACGTCATCAGGGTCGTCCAGAGGGTCACTGTTAGCCTTTGGGTCTGTGGAAGATCCATCAGACGCACCTGGCTTTTAGCTCCACTGGCTTCACACAGGCCAATGATCACGTACGGCAGCTAAGTTTGGTGGAACGCGCTTAGCAAATCCATTTACAGGGCACAGCTTGACAAGTTCTAACGACTCGCCTGCATCGTTACAATTTAGAATTTCTCCAAAGTTGGGAATGGAGGCCCTATCGGGAATAATCTCTTTGTGGAGGCACTGGCCCGGGGGGCTTTAGTTAGACTCAACGATTAGGGACAATGGTTTGATAGAGGGCTGAGCATGGGACATGCATGGGCTTGTACTGACATTATCAGAGAGGACCCTCTACTCATCAGAAGGGATGCATTTTCAAAAACTTTAGACCCTTCCTAGAAAATACAAGGCCGTCATCCCTGCAAGGGACAACTGACTAGAGCCTGACCCAGGTTTCCTGAAGCCGAAGGGGCTCATCTGGTACACGGACGGGTCTCTGATGAAAGAGGGTGCAGGGGCTGAGTAAATGTGCTAGGAGGGTTCTAGGCCAGAATCAGTCATCTTCCCATGTAAATCTCCATAAGAAAATCTAAGGTCCGTTCTGGCAATTTTCGTACCATTTTGGAGTGAGGGTAAAATTTCAATGAATTTCTAGGATAATACCCCGCCCCTTTTCCAGTGCCCGTGTCTTTCATCGGTCGCACTAACTGGTCAGCTGCCGCTGCGTTCAGGGTCATTGATCGTACCTGGCTCCGAGCGGCTCATCGAAAACATATAGCACCTCGTGACTTGGTACCTCATTCAAGGTGCCTCGTACTGATGATGACGTAACTAATAATAAAATCCGCCTCGTGCTTTGTCTAGTTGCAGATGTAAGTTGCACGAGGCGGGAGCCAACTTTTAGGTTATGAGTTTTAGGTTATGTGAATCGAGCCCGGAGAACAGAGCGGCAGAAATTGGGGGACCTTAATACGGGGCAATTCAATAGCTGTATCATATCAGTCTCTAGACCTGTATACCTTTATATACAGACCTGTCTAGCTGTATACAGACCTGTCTAGCTGTATACAGACCTGTCTGTAGACCTGTATAGCTGTATACAGACCTGTCTCTAGACCTGTATAACTGTATACAAGTCACGAGGTGCTATGTATGTTGGATGAGCCGCTCGGAGTCAGGTACGGTCAATGACCCTGAACGCAGCGGCAGCTGACCAGTTAGTGCGACCGATGAAAGACACGGGCAGTGGAGAGGGAGCGGGGCATAATCCTAGAAATTCATTGAAGTATTGCCCCCATTCCAAAATGGTACGAAAATTGCCAGAACGGACCTTAGATTTTCTTATGGAGTTTTACATGAGAAAATGACAGATTTTAACCTAGAACGCTCCTAGCACATTTACTGGGCTGGTGTATATGGCGAGAGACGACCTGTAGCGAGAATCAGTCTTGCACTAGGTCGATACCCAACGGTATACCAGATTGAGATCTATGCTATATAGGTGTGTGATCAAGAGAATCTCCAGAGAGGTTACTCGGGCAAACATACATGCAATGACAGTCAGGCAGCACTCCGAGCCCTTTGCTCAGACAAGGTCAATTTCAGGCTCACGCTTGACTGTATGACAACCCTAGAACTACTCAGTGCGCACACTCTTGTTTGGGCATGAAAGGCAACGAAGAGACGGACCAGATGGCGCGTGAAGGTAGCAACACTGTCCTTATTGGGCCAGAGCCTGCACTTGGGGTTACTTCCTGCCTGGTGAAAACCAAGATCAGTAATCGGCCCAACAACTAGTTCCAAGACGAATGGCTGAATCAAAGGAGCCTCAGACAGTTCAGGATCTTTATACAAGGTCCCTCAAATTTCAGAGAGGCAAAGAGCCTCCTAAAACTAAATAGCATTCAACTTAGAGCCATCGAACCCAGTAATGAGACGGAATGCAGGTTCTGCAGCGAAGTTTTGAGCTCTTCGGTAAGACAGGCCTGCACCAAGAGGGGGAATAGTTCAATGAGCCACATGCACGTCTAGGTGCTGTCTGTGAAGGCCCCCTTTAAATCAATTCAACAAAGCAGGACAGTCTGAGTTGAAATTTGAAAAGAAGACCTGACAAAGAGCGATGAAATACCGATAAAATATAGAAGTACTTTCAGCTTAGTTGCTCTGATTATACAGGGTGTTCCAGCCGAGAGTGACCCATTTTAAATGCTTATAACTTTTAAACCAGGTGAGCTAGCTGCCTGTGGTTTGTGCGATTCGATTTCTCTTGGTCTAAAGTTTTTTCTAGTAAGTTTCAAATTTTTTTGAAACTTATACAGGGCGAGTGAAAAAAATTCCGTTTTTCAACATCGAAATTCTCCACTATTTCCAATGGAACACCCTGTATATCACTACGTCATAAAAAAGATTCATGTTTAAGGTATCCATAGACCAATAGACATTGTCCTTGAAGTTTTGCCCGTAAAAAATTAAAATCGAAATTTTGATATTTTTGCAAACGCATGTAACTTCATGTTGTAGGAACTTGATTTCACTATGGCAAAATGTTATGTAACTGTCTAGTAAGATATCAATTAAATTAAAATACATTTTCCAAGAAAATTTAACGAGTTCCAAAGTATTTTCTCTGGAACTCATTAAATAGAGATACCCCAACAGTAACAGTTTGGTGTGCAATCTCTATTGAGGAAAAATACAGACCATTTTCATTGATGAACCAACAACAACAGAAACTGTATACACTGATATGCTCTTTTTCTCACAGTTAAGACACGAGGTTATCTTGGATGATATCTATTTTCAGCAGGAAGGTGCCCCCACCTCATTATTCTTTAATAGCAAAGGAAACACTAGATATGATATTTGGGGAAAGACAGATAAGGAGAGCTGACCATATACATCTGTATAGGTACTTACACCATTTTGTATAGTTTTATGCAGTTGTTATTAACTTTTTATTAGGCAAACATAAGTTCCAAGCTTTGAAAATATGCGTTTGCAAAAATACCTAGATTTCGATTTTGATTTTTTACGGCTAAAACTTCAAGCTTTAGGGACGATGTCTATTGGTACATAGATACCTTAAACATGAATCTTTTTTTTGACGTTGTGGTATACAGGGTGTTCCATTAGAAATAGTGGAGAATTTCGATGCTGAAAAAAGGATTTTTTTTTACTCGCCCTGTATAAGTTTCAATTTTTTTTTAAACCTACTAGAAAAAACTTTAGACCAAGAGAAATCGAATGGCTCAAACCGCAGGTAGCTAGCTCACGTGGTTTAAAAGTTATAAGCATTTAAAATGGGTCACTCTCGGCTGGGACACCCTGTAGTGCAGTTTTGTATAGCAAACTTATGGAACATGACGTATTCTTATTGGGCATTTGGTGATGAATCTGGATGTCTGCAAAATGGATCGCATTGATTGATGGCATCATCAACTTGAAGTGGAAGATTTTTTCTGTTCAACGAAGGAGCACATCGAACTCCTGGGATACCATTGGGTTCCCTGTATTTAACTAGTTTGCCGATACTTGGATGTCCGGAATTACTTCATGAATGTGACGTTGACCTGTACACCAATCTTGCACAAAATGCCCTACCAAGATTATTTAAGAAGATATTCCGATTATACTCCTTCAAAGGGCTGTGGATTTTGCTTAGACAAAACATGGGTAGCCAGACATTTGTCAGTTATAAGGAAACGCCTGGAAAAAATAAGTTATTTCCTAAAATATCATAAACAAAACCGTCTTCTCCTCTCAGTCTGTGATGAAAAATTTCTAAAACTATATTCTTACATTATTTGATATTCTCCGCTAGCGTTCCACGAAAGCAACTGAACCACGTTCCCGGTCCCATTCACCGTTAACTCCATAATGGGACTCGACAAGTTGATCTCATTTTTATCCACGCAAAATACGTTTGCCGCAACTTCAATTCTAAATTGACCATTAGTCTGCGCGACATTCACGTAAACTTCCTCGTTGTCGTCGAATCTAATAAACAATTTCCATTTTTCCCGTTCGGCTTTTCCGCTGCGTATTTTAAAATCGGGAATATTGATAAAACTACGGCTCCGCAGCTCGTTTGTGGCGTACAAGGCCCCGGCAACGGCAACAAGCTTATGTCTGTCACGTACGCCGAGAGTAATTCCCTGGAATCCTTCAGGATAAACTTGGGGCAAATAGTCGGTGCTAATATTGCCTTCGATGAATTTTTGTTGAGTGAGGATATCGCGTAGGAAGGGTATGTTGTGCTCGATGCCTCTTATTACGTATGAGTCTAAAGCTTGTTTGCTTATTTCTATAGCTTCTTTTCTGGTTTTTCCATGACACACCAATTTGCAGATCAAAGGGTCATAGTGCATCGTTATTTTGCTGCCTTCTTCTACCCCACTGTCACATCGAACTCCTGGAATGCCATTGGGTTCTTTGTATTTGTATAATTTTCCAATACTTGGAAGTCCGAAATTTTTGTAAGGGTCCTCTGCGTACACTCTACTTTCAATGGCCCATCCGTTTATTTCGACGTCTTCTTGTTTGATGTTCAACTTATGGCCTTTGGCTAACCTAAACATTTGATGCACCAAGTCGATTCCAGTAATACATTCAGTAATAGGATGTTCCACTTGTAGTCTGGTGTTCATTTCCAGAAAATAGAAATTTCTCTTTTGATCTACGAGAAATTCTACGGTTCCTGCGTTGGAGTAATTCAGTTTTTTACATAACGATACGGATTGCTCGCCCATTTTCTGACGCGTTGTAGTATCTAGAAATACACTAAAAATCATTATTGGATTGGATGAATGGAAATAGGCTCCAAAACTGAAACAACTAAAAAACAACGCCATTTTCTAGTCAGACAGCTTTGGGAGAGTGCGCCATCCATTACAACGTTAAACTGCGATGAAAATCCACCACAACTAATAGTTTTTCTTTAAATGAAATCACTAGAAAATTACGGTTTTTAAAAGTTTGCTGACTTACTCCGATTATACGGTATGAAGCTTACCTTGGTGCTTCTTCAATAACTTTTTGATTTCTACGTTGTATACTGCACTCGCGTTCATTCAAATAAATAACATTACCATATTGATCGCCTAAAATTTGTATTTCAATATGTCTAGGATTTTCTATGAATTTTTCGACTAGCATTCGTGAATCTCCAAAGCTCGATTCAGCTTCTTGAGTGGACAAAAGAAAGCCTTCTCTAAAATTAGATTAGCTATAAGCTGATTTCCATTGACAGTAAACGAGTTAGTCTTACCTTACTTCATGATCGTTTCTAGCAATCCTCATTCCTTTACCGCCACCGCCGGCTGAGGCTTTAATCATCACCGGATAGCCAACGACACGGGCTATCTGGACACAATGTTCCGCGTCCGTGACTATCTGGTCGAAGCCTGGAATAACATTCACTCCGGCGTCCATGGCCGTGCGTTTCGACTCGAGTTTATCGCCCATTTTCGATATCACTTCGGCAGATGGTCCTATAAAGGCGACATTCTCTCGCGATTCCTGAAATCGCCGATAAGGGCTAGAGCCAGTTGTAAGTTATTGTTTAATTGCGATATAAATGGAGAGCGGATTTTGATAATCGATAGTTAAGTCCTAGACAAAATTTGAGCATCAGCAAAACTTCTTTCTATAACTTTTCATTATTTTAAGTTTTAAATCTTATTATTAAAGGCTAACAATATATGAGGTTTCGATGAGCTCACGCCTTTTGTTTTACTTTATGTGAATTCTTCAGTTGATTTTTCTACCTTCGGTTATAGGTTGAGGGAAACCACCTATTTATAAATATCATTTCTTTGAATCTTAACTTTTTTTAAAAAAAGTTTACTGAATAAAAGTAAATGTTGCAACCATGTATGCGCCCTCAAGTTTAGGACTGAACGAGCTCGCCACAGAGAAAACGAAGGTACCGAAACCGAAGAGGATACAAGAGAATACGCAACTAGACTACAAAACGAGCTGGACTGGTCCCTTAGAAAACGTGTCGCGTATCTGTATTTATTCATTATTCAATTTTCATTTTTATTTTGCATTAAAATTGATTGTTCAATCCAATTTGTTATTAGTGTGTGTGCAAGAAGCGTTCACAGGTTAGTTGATTAATTATTATTTTGTTTGTGAGACTTCAATTTATACAATTATCATTTTTTCCATTTTTATATTTTTTTGTTTTTTTATAACATTTTTTTATGACATGTGCATTGTTCTTGTATTTAACAAAAATCGTTTCATGCTGTGAACAACACAGATAAAGAAGTAAATTAAAACCTAAGAAATTATGTGCAGAGATTTTGATTTTTGGATTTAGAGCGTTCATTAGGGCCTTGTTGAATTTACTAACATTTTCCTACCCTGACGAGAGAATATCCTAACAAATTGAAATAATCAATCTAGAGATATTGGCTCAAAAACAACTATAGCTGAGTAGCTTCCCGTATGGGACCTCAGTACCTGCTGGGAAACTGGCTAACTAACCAAAAACTCTTCAGTATTAAATATAGGTAGTGTTGATTGAATGTAGTGTGTGTAATTAAAGAACAGGGGCGGAAAATTTGAATTTTTGTTCTTTTAAGTATCTGCCCTTTAGCTCTAGATATATCATTCCATCTTTGCAAGAGTGGTTCGATTTGTCATGTCTCCACAAGTACCAACAAAATGATGGAAATAGAAGAAACAACAACAACACAGAATACATATATTGAGCCAAGATGAAAATGCCAAAACAAACTTGTAGCTTCCGTTGAATGAGAACAAGAATATTGAAAAATGGATGGCGAACAAAGAAGTCAATAGAATTGGGACATTTAGCAACCTCTAACAAAACCAGAGACTACTCTATAAATAGTCCAAATGACCTAGGAACTAGAGATGGGAGTATGCTCCTCAAATATTTAGCTTCTTGATGGAAAGAGCATTTTCAAGAACTGCTGCAAAGTTCCTCAAAAACCCATTCGAAAGTATCTGAGTGACGTTACTTTCCATCAAGAGGTTGAGTAAGCTGAAGGGTGAACGTAAAAGTTCTTGTTGAGCTTTCCAAGGTTTCTGAAATCTCCTGATTTCCTCCTCGTTCATTCAACCATCTCCTTGTCGTTCATCAAAAAATTTCTACATTCCGAGGCTCTGCCTAGCTTTAAACTGGTAATTTCTTAAGGCGACTTGCATAATATTTATTGAATCTCTAGACTTTAATGACGACTCTGAGATTCTCCAGTAAACAAAATATATAATTCTCTACAAATTTATTTATCATTTAAACCAGATGCTATTTACAAGTAGGTGTTAATGAAAAGTTTTATTGATATGTTAATTTTGTCGAGGAGTTTATTTTGTATGTCACCAAAAATGTACGTGTTCTTACCAAAATCCTAACAAATTCCGTATTCTCAGACAAGAAACCATAACCAGGATGTACGGCATCAGCGTTTGTCTGCTTAATCGCTTCCATAATTTTATCTATATTCAAATAGGACTCGGTTGCAGATGACGGTCCAATAAAGACGGCTTCATCAGCCATTTTGACATGTCTCTGAAATGTTAATTACAGAACCGGGATTTGAATGGTGTACGTATGTTTACTATCTCGTATGCGAGAACAACATCTATTTTAGTATGCTTGAACGGTTCGTCTAATCTCTCGAGGGTGTTAATTAATTATGGAGTAGTTTGTGCCAAACGAATAATATTATTGATTTTATTGTGCATAAATTGGGATTAGAACTATTTGTACAAGATATACGAACCGCTTGCGAATCTGCAACTGAATAGACTGCCACTGTTTTTATGCCCATCCTCTTCGCCGTCCGGATAATTCTGCAGGCGATTTCGCCACGGTTCGCTATTAGGACTTTTTTGAAAATGGCTTCGTTGTTGGGGTCAATTATTGCGCCTGTGGTATGTTGCGATCTTTTGTGTTTACCAAAATGAACCTGATATAAAATCGATTGAATCATCGCACAAAACAGCGAACAAAAAATGTTTAATTGAATTGCCATACATTAGCGGTTTCTATTTTTTCAAATGCTTCTTGTGAAAATTGTAACAATTAGTTTAGACATTATGTAATACTGATAATTGCTTTATAATTTGAAATTATTGTTGCACATTTAGGATGCTTGATTTAGGGAAAGAGTTTATTCTATTTGAGAAGTGAGAGTAGGTATTTATTTTTTTTTCCTGATGAAGCATTTTTAAAAAAATACAAAACTAATGTAATTTTCACTTACATTTGCTTTTCCACAACAAGAACACAATTTCGAAAATAATTTTGAATTATTTTTAAAAGCCATTATTTATAAACACCCAACCGTACTATCGTTTATACAAATACTGCCTGAATTTTTTGAGAATAAATTTAATACTAGGTTAGAAGTGTGTCAAACGGTTATCTGCCGGATAGTATTTGTCTCGGTATTTGTACAAAGTCCACTCAATCATAAACAAATCGACAAAATATGCAATTATTTATTTGATAGCAATGTTAATTAATAAATATAAAAATTGTCTGCAATCGCAATAACAACTCTGTTATCCTTTCCGGGAAATCCGACATTTGTATTTCCCGTTTAGACATCTGCCCCCGAAATATTATAATTGAAACTGTGGTCTTTTGCTAAATTGCTTTTGTCTCTAAACTGAATAGATCCGATTTGATGAAAAGGGCAAATTGTCCATTGATACATTTTACTCTCATCAACTTGCCATATTTGTTGTAATTATTTTTCTTGTCCTTTACAGTTTGATTAATGATTTTCTAATAATTGAAATGGCGAATTGAATTCAACTCATTTAAATCTAAAATGTAACTTTCTCAAAGCGCTTTCATCGGCGGCAAAATTGAAAACAAATTGAAACTACGAGAAAAAAAAGGCTCGCTCAACTTGATTTAGCGTAATCCGAAATAATACCAGACCTGGTAGAGCAAAAGATCAAAAAGTTTAATCGCTTTTGGGTTTTTTTAGGCGAAGTTTAATTTTGTTTCCCATAGGTTCGTCCTGATTTTTATATAGGAAAGCTAATCTCTTAACTCCCTATTCCGAAACAAAAGTTGTATTTAATCCTACAAAAATCAGGCTCCCATCAGTTTAAACTTCGAGTTCCAAAAAAAAGTTGTAATCTCTTTATTTAATGTTGAGATTAAGTGGAAGTTAATTATTTTTGTTTTGACAAAAGCTGAAGAATTGAGTCTCAATGCCTAAGACACTATAAGATAGTTGTGCCAAACTATATTTCAAACAGCTGTAGTTCAAGCTTACAACCCCAGAGACAAAAATCAAAAGGTGGAATGTACTCTAACTAACGTGTGTATATTACATTTGCATCCAATAGAAGAAACTCGGTTATCCATATTCACATTTGGTTCAAAGAAACCTCAAGAAATTGATAGCCCTGTTGTTGTACTAATTTAGTTTCTACAATTTATGCAAACGTGGTATATATAGCTTTATTCGATTAACGAATATATGAACAAAAAGATAGTGTTAACAACCACAGATTAAAGTCTTTGTTATTTTCTTTGTGTACGCCTGTGGCTAAACAAGCGCAGTGATAAAAATATTGAAAAGAACTGGGGCAAGTACACACCCTTGCCTGACTCCTGGTTGTGTTACAAATGGGTCAGTGGGTTCACCATCTATCAAAACTCTTGCCCAGTTCTTCTCATGGAGACTCTTGCATACCTTTAACAACCTTGGAGGTACGCCAAAGCACGCCATGATTTTCTATAATGCTTCCCTGTTAATAGAATCAAAGGCCTTTGCCAAATCTATAAATGCCATACATAATTGTGACTGCTGTTCTTTGGCCTTTTCCTGGAGCTGTCTAAGGGTAAATATCAGATCTGTGGTACCTCTGTTTGGTCTAAAGCCACATTGTGTCTCTGGTAGAATGAAGTCTACATATTTTGAAAATCTGGTTGCCATAACCCTTGTGAGAATTTTTCCGCCAATAGAGAGCAACGAAATACCTCTGTAGTTTCCACAGTCAGCAGCATTGCCTGTATTTTTGAATAGATTAACTATAAATGCTTCTCGGAAATCTTGAGGGATTCGCCCTTAGTCCAGATTAAATTGAAAAAGGATTCTAGGTTCTCCATTGTTTGGTTTTGGTTCACGAGAGCTTTATATATCTCCGCTGGTATTTGGTCGGCACCTGGAGCTTTGTTGTTTTTCAGGCTGTTAATTGCTTTTTAAATTTCTTCCTTAGATATATCATTATCCATTGGCATTCCTGGCTCATACTGCGGTATCATCAGTTGTAGAGTGTTGATTTAGAACGGCTGTATAATGTTTTTTCCATTTATCTTTTATTTGGTTTCGGTCTTTTATTAAGTTGCCATTATCATCCCTAAGTGGGGAAGCTTTTCGGTTCCTAACACCGTAGACTTTCTTGACAGATCAAAGAAGTTTTTTTGGTCGTGCTGATCAGCATATCCTTGGATTTGTTTTGTCTTGTCAGTCCACCACTCGTCTTAATTTGCCTAATCTCTTTTTGAGTTGACTGTTTCACATCTTCATATTTTCTTTGTATGTTAATATTGTTGGGATTGTTCTGGACTGATTGAAACGCATTGTGTTTTGTGTCCAAGATGCTCTTTATTTGCTGCAAATTTTCTAAGAACCAATCTTCTTGTTTTTTGCTCTCTGTAACTCCTACAACTGATGCACTTGATTCATTAAGCGAATCTTTTAGACCTGCCCAGAATATTTCTATGTCCTCAAAGTCGTTAATAGGTAGATTACTTAGTCTTGACTATATGTCTTGGCGTAGCCTTTCCCCTATTTCTGGAGATTTAAGTCGTTCAGTATGAATTCTCTTTCTGCCTTTTGCTTGTTTTTTCTTGCTGTATGGAGGTTTTAGGTTTGCCAGCATTTTTGAGATCACGAGACGATGATCGGTCCAGCACTCAATGTTTGTTACGGTTTTTGTGATTTTTACTTCTTTTTAGTGCTTTCTCTTGACTATAACGTAATCAATCATGTGTCAGTGTCCAGATCTTGGATGGCGCCAAGTACCCTTGTATTTGTTTCTCTGTCTGAACCTCGTGTTGGTTATTTTCAAATCATGTTCAACGCATTTAGTTAGTAGAAGCTCACCGTTGCTATTAATGGTACCATTTACATTAGGCCGGTTATCAGAATTTCTGCCCACTTTTGCATTAAAGTCACCCAAAAACATTATTTGGAGGCTTTCTGGAATATGTCTGAGTACATGTTTAAGATGTCCGTAAAAGGTTTCTTTAGTTTGTTGCTCAGAATATAAAGTTGGTGCGTAAGCACTGATTATGTGAACAAAGCTTTGGTTTTGCAACTGATACTTTAGCGTCATTAAACGTTCTGATATACCATGGGGCAGTCCAGTCAGTCTAGGCGCAAGGCTGGTTCTAATAGCAAAGCCAACACCGTGGATTTTTGTTGATCCTTTGGGATGACCCTTCCAGAAGAAAGTGTAATTACCGCCCACTAAACTTCCTTCCTCGAGAAAGCGAGTTTCGCTAAGTGCTACCAGATCTATGTTTAGGCTTTCCAACTCTAGAGCAATAATGGCCGCCCTTCTTTCTGGTCGGTTTGATGTGTTCCATGCAGCACAAGTAAATGTTCCTTGCGTCTGACGTTTCTATTTTTGACGATGACTTGTTTGAGCAGATACCCCCTCCTGGAGATCCGAGTGAGGAGGTATTTTGACTCCGGATGATTTTCTTCCGCTAAAACAATCCATCTTTTTGTTAGCTGCGTGTGTATATAGCCAGAACTAGTACGTCGCTATCCCAGCTTTGGTTGCAATGAAGGGCCTTGCCCATGGCATAGATGATCTGCGACGATGAGCTCTTCATTAGGTGGTAGGTAAATGCAACTTTGTTGCCTCTGACCATCAATATTTAGAATCTCTATTGGCACCCTTAAAAGCCTGAGACGAGGCTTTGCTGCTACGTATGTCTGCCGGTTTCCTGTGCCTATCGACCTGGCTCGCCTTCCATACCGCAACAGTCTTCGTGCACTTTGAGTAGGAGATACTACTCCAGACCCAGCAATGGGTCCAACTCTACCAGGTTTAGCCCGCCGATCAAAGCGGTTTACCGGTGTATGGCCGGTGCAATACACAACACCTTCTTGGAGCCACTAGTGAGAGTTGTGGTTCTCTTGAGGACCAAGAGGTCGATGCCTATCCGCAATCGGAAGTGATCGGCACCCCCCTAGACGTACTACCTCTAAGAATAACCATCACATACACCGTACATCACGCATCAGTTACAAGCACCAAACGACTCAGTTCCTCAATTCGGTTTGACACGAAAAATTTCCCATAAATTAACAATGGCCGATGATGATGATGGAAGCAAAGGAGATCAGATTGATGTTTCACTTGGAAAAGATTGTTATCATAGTTTCATGTTGGGCCAAATAGAAAAAATTTTGCCGGGATTTTATCTCGTAAATTCAAAATTCGGTAGGATCTGCTCGGGCAGATCCACGAAACAACAACCAGATCCGGATCAGCTGTCTCTTCTCACTTATTTTCAGACAGATCTCAATGGTTCTTTGATTTGCCACAGTTCAGATCCACCCTTACGTAACGATCATCTTATCAATTTATGGGATCTGGCTTCGTCAATTCAACGAACATGTTTAGTATATTGCAAAAAGATACCACCTTACTTGGCTTTGGATTAATTATCCACTAGTCTTACCTACCAATTTTGGGTTATCATGTATACCTCTGGTGCTGAACAGATTCCAAATGGTAGACGAGTGCAACTATAACGCCCCCATAGACTATAGTCAGTCTTGTCAAGATACTTATTAGCGAGACTCTACAAAAGTATGATTTGGTTTTAAAAGAACATTTATCACCTGGCATTATTGAAAGGGTTCCGGAGCCAACCAAACGAGAAAATTATCTTGTGCATTACTTGCCACATCACTGCGTTTGTAAAGATCATGCGACTGAATTGCGTGCAGTGGTGGATACAGTGGGGGGTAGAACTCGTTGTAAAATAAAATAATAAAATTTAAAAAAAAAAAGAAAACAAAACCATATTTTAAGTTTTAAGAATGTTTAGATAGCTGGAAACCTATAAAAAATCACAGTTTTGTCTTTGTCCCAAGAACTTTAACCGCAAACAGTATATCATTAGTGGTTGAGTTGATGTATTGTTTTTTTTTTTTAATTCTAATAAATGAATATTCATACAAAATCAATAAGATTATGTACAGGGTGTTTTTTCATATATTGACATCCCACTTAGAGCCTTTACCTTTACAGGTAGATGAAAGGTGTAAATACAAAAGTTGAACAGTATTGGCTAAATTTTTAAAATCCAGTATCTTTCCAATTTTTGGCGCCAAATATATGAGAGACTGTTCAATCAAATATAGACAAACTATATATTTTTGGAATCGGGGCATTGTGCTCTTCAAGAA